AAAAAAAAAAATCATTAGAGATTATTACAAATAACTTTACACCAACAAAATTAAAAAGCCTGAGGCTATGGATAAATTAAGAGGGAAGTTTACTGAAATAAAGGCCTACATGAAAGAAATAGAAAGATTTCAAATAAACAACCTAATACTACACCTCAAAAAACTAGGAAATTAAGAACAACACAATCTGTAAATTAGTAGACAAAATCATCATGATCATCATGATCATCATCATCATAATAATAAAAGGTCACAGCAGAACTAAATGAAATAGAAACCCTGAAAATGATTTTTAAAAAGATCAATGAAACAAAAAGGTTGGATTTTTGAAAAGATAGATAAAATAGACAAACCATTAGTTGGACTAACTTAAAAAAAAGAGAAAACCCCAATAACAAAAATCAAAATGAAAAAGGAGACATTACAACTGATACCACAGAAACAAAAAGAATCATTAGAGACTGTTGCAAATAACTATACACCAACAAAGTTGAAAAGCCAAAGGCTATGGATAAATTTCTGCACATATACAAACTACCAAGACCGAACCAAGAATAAATAGAAAATCTGAACAGACCAAAAACAAGAAATGAGATTAAAGCAGAAATGAGCAATCTACCAACAAAGAAGAGCTCAGACCAGATGGCTTTACTGCTGAAGTCTACCAAACCTTTAAAGAGGACTTAATACCAATTCTCTTCAAACTACACCAAAAAGTTGAAACAGAGGTCACTCTCCCAAACTCATTCTATGAGGCCAGCATTACCACCTAAACCAGGCAAAGATACTAAAAAAAAGAAAAAGAAAGAAAACAACAGGCCAATGTTGAACATAGGTGCAAAAATCTGCAACAAAATACTAGCAATCAGAATACAGCAGTACATCAAAAAAATTATACACCATGATCAAGTGGGATTCATTCCTGGGAGACAAGGATAGTTCAACATACACAAGTTAATAACTATGATATGCCACATCAACAAAATCAAAGACAAAAACTCTATGATTATCTCAATATATGCAGAAAAAGCATTTGACAAAATTCAACTTCCTTCATGATAAAGGCTGTCAGCAAATTAGGCATATGAGGAAAAATCACAACCCAATAAAAGCTATGTACAACAAACCCACCACCAGTATCACCCTGAATGGGGAAAAGCTTTCAGATTATCTTTTTTAAGAACAGGAACAAGACATGGATGCCCACTATCACCACTCCTATTTAACACAGTATTAGAAGTACGAGCTAGAGCAATCCAGCAAGAGAAAGAAACAAAGGACATCCAAATTGGAAAAGATGAAGTCAAACTCTCCCTTTTTGAAGATGACATGATCCTATATATA